TAATCATAATTAAAAATATATAAACGGCTGAGAGAGAATTAGGGGAAACCCAAAAGGAGTTCTATTTTTCATTTTCCCTCTCATTTTGCATTTGATGGTAGGAGCATACGGTTACCCTATGTCTTCAGATTTCAGAAATGAAACTATAATCATTTAGCAACATGAGGAAATTCTCAAGCAATGATGTACCAGAGTCCTTAGAGCTGCCTGGTCTATGGCTTATTAGGAAGCAGGCTGCACAGAGGAGGCGAGCGGCGGGCAAGTGAGCGAGGAAGGTAAGCTTCATCTGTATTTACAGCCGCTTCCCATCACTGCTTATATCACCACATAAGCTCCTGAGCTCCCTCCAACCCCTAACCCCCAGATCTGTGGAAAAATTGTCTCCCATGAAACTGGTCCCTGGTGCCAAAAAGGTTGAGGATGGCTGCCTTAGAGGCAGGCCAACCACTTTGAGGACCTACTGTCATATACTAGAGATCCAAACATTTCTTGGCCTTCCTTAGGTCAGCAGTACCATGTAGGGCCAACTGGAATTTAAATATTCTTCCAGCAATCACAGCATCCCTGAGATCTTCACCTTTTCAACCCCAAACCTCTACCTTTGCCATTTCCCAGACACATCAGTCACAAGGACCTTCCCCTACCTGACCTCCACATGTAGCCTAATGACCCCACACTCACCTTGAGCTCCTGAGGACAAACAGATGGCAGCAGGAAAGCGTGGACTAACACTTCCTACCTGTCTCTACTCAGCACCTGTAGATGGGACTTCCTACCCCGACCTCACAGTCTGTCAAACCAGTGAGAGACTGATATATATGCCAGACCTATGACTTTTACAGAAATAAGGATAAAATCCAAGAATGAAAGAAACACCCAAGGCAACATCAGACGATATCCTGTTTCTTCTTAATTCATAAACCAATTCTCTTCCCATTAATGTTATTATCAAAAAACCACCACAGATGTCTGACTGCCTGCTTCCCTCTCTCCACACCAGAAGGATCAACTTCTGATAGGCTCTTGGGGACATGAACCAAGAAAAAGAAAACTTACCTTGTCTTTGGATGTCTTGCCTCGGCCTGTGTAATCTTTCATGAGGAAAATTAATGAAGACACATCCGATTTATTCAAGTCCTCACCAATCTCTGCCATCAGCACCCTATAAATCAGATAAGTTTCTTTAATTAATGAAGACTCTTGTCCTAATGAGAACTCCAAGAGCCCATGCCTCTCCTATACCAATAATTGGTTAAAAGACTAATTCTTGGTGGGCACAGCGGCTCATGCCTCTAATCCTAGCACTCCAGGAGGCTGAGGTGGGAGGATCGCTCAAGGTCAGGAGTTCAAGACCAGCCTGAGCAAGAGTGAGACCCCGTCTCTACTAAAAAAA